ATTTTTTTCTCATACTACACTATGACTTTTTTGATGACATACTATGCTATGCCTTTTTTTGTTAAAATTATACTAAACGTTTTTTGACATACAATATAATGACTTTTTATACCATACTTTATTTTGACTTCTCATGACATACTACACTTTGGCTTTTTTATGTTTAAAATATACTATGACTTTTTTTTTTTACATAATAAACTATGACTTTTTTAAAATATAATATTATGATTTTTTTCTCATACTACACTATGACTTTTTTGACATACTATACTATGACCTTTTTGATGACATACTACACTATGACTTTTTTATGTTTAAAATATACTATAATTTTTTGACATACTATAGTATGACTTTTTATGACATACTTTATAATGACTTTTTATGACATAATATACTATAACCTTTTTGATGACATACTATACTATGACTTTTTTGACATACTATACTATGACCTTTTTTGACGTATTATACCATAACTTTTTGATGACTATGCTGTGACATTTTTGACACACTGTACAATGATGTTATTCATGACCTTCTTTCATGGCATACTTTATTGTGACTTTTCTGGACATACTATACTTTGACTTTTTTTTGACAAACTACACTGTTGCTGTTTTATGACATACTATACCATGATTTTTTTTTAAATTATATACTATTGTTAAGTACAGTATCAGTTTAGGAAGGACCCAAAAGCAAAGCAGCAGGCAGGCTTGAGGTTTAACAAAAAGGAAGCTTTAATAAAGCTGATGAAAAACATCCAGAACAGGCAGGTAACAGAAAGTCCAAATGACAGAAGAACCAAAACTAACTGAAAACCAACCAGGATAACAGGATGAACTCAGGTAAAAAAAAATACAGAACAGAACACAAGACACTAGGCAGGAAACAGAGCAGGGAAAGACACCAAGAACACAGGGATGAGCAAAGGAATAAATGCAGACAAACTGACAAGGAACAACGAGAAACACAGAGTTATATATACACACAGAGAACTAATCACAACAACAGGACACAGCTGGAGTAGATGGACATGGGTAGAAGGATGGAAACGGAGATTGGCTTACAACAAAGGTATGGAATGGAACACTGGAATGAAGCAAACAAGATTTCCATTGACTCAAAGGACTGAGACACAATCCTTTGAACACATCAGGGTGTTCCTGTTAAATGCATTTGAGGTTTACTGTTCAGTGTGAATTGGTCCCACATTTAATGCATATTATGAGAGCATAAAAATAGTCAGAATCAATACAACACTGACATGCCCAATTTGTCTGTAAGGATGCATGATATCTTGTAGACATGTGACAATTTTGACTTCTGCTGGCGGTATCATCAGTACATGTCTTATCACAAACAACACAAAATTTACACCTCCTTCTTTGTGCTTCAGTTTTCAAGGTGAATGTACTCAGTGTCAGCAAGAGTTACTACGACAAATATGAGATGGAGATCACACAAGTTGTCAAGCTGGGTGAGTCAATGCTGCTCTTTTTTTTTTAACAAATGATTGTTAGCTAATAAAAACCCCAGTAGTAAGATACTTCTATATAAGATTCTCAAGGCATCACAGAGAAGAATTTCCAAAGAAATAACATTATAAAAGCCCAGTACATTAAAAAATAACTTATTATATTGGCCCATATTTACACTTAATGGATATAGTTATAAAATATAATATAGCTGTATGTTCTGAATCTCTCCTCCCAATCATCCAGGTGTGGAGGCAGGAGTTGAAGTTGGCCAGAAGAGGATTTTCATGTCTCATGGAGGCTGCAGAGATGGACTCAACCTGATGGAGGGCTCCCAATACCTCATCATGGGCCCCAAAGAGGACCAGTGGAACACTGACACTGACACAAACACGTAAGATCAGGAAATAAATATATATACTCAAAAACATAAAAATACATACATAAAAATGCCATGGTATAGTATATCAAAAAAGTCATATTAGACTATGTCAAAAACAGAGCAGTATGTCAAAAAAGGTTGTAGTACAGTATGTCATAAAAAAGTCATAGTAGAGTTTGTAAAAAATAAGTCACAGTAAAGTATGTCAAAAAAAGTCATAGTATAGTATGTCAAAGAATACATAGTATAATATGTCAACAATATAATATGTCATAAAAAATCATGGTTTTGTATGTATGTATGTATGTATGTGTATGTATAGTATGTCAAAAAAGTCATAGTATAATATGTCAAAAAAGTTATGGTATCATAAGTCATAAAAAAGTCATAGTATAGTATGTCAAAAAAGTCATAGTATAGTATGTCA